ATATAAAGAAAACTGGAACAAACAAAATGTCAACAACAAGCATAGTCGGAATTATAGTCATTTTAATATTCTTTATGTTTTTAAAAATTTTGAGGTTTGTGTTACTAGCATCCGTTACTTATATAATCAGAAAAAAAATACAACTTTAAAATATTTATTTAGGTCCAAAGATGGTAATCTAAATGGTGTTACAGGCTGAATGTGTGCCTGATCACCATGCCCCAAGTTCATATGTTAAATCCCTGGCCCCCAAGGCAATGGTATTAGGGGAGTAGGGTGTTTGGGAGGTAATCAGATTTCGATGAAGTCATGAGGGTGGAGCCCCCATAGTGGAATTAGTGTCCTGTTAGGAAGAGGAAAACAGACCAAAGCCTTCCTTTCTCTCCTCACTATGTAAGAAGATAGCCAGAAGGTGGCCACAGCTAGGAAGAGAGCTCTCACCAGAACCCAAATCTGCCAGCACCTTGGTCTTGGGTTCTCAGCATCTAGAACTGTGAGAAATGAATGTGTGTTGTTTAAACCACTCAGGCTACGGTATTTTGTCACAGCAGCCCGAGCTGACAGAGATGGATAGAAACAACACAAGGACCCATCAGCAGACGAGTGGATGATCAAAACGTGGTGAGGTCGTGCAGTGGGATATTATTCAGCCATAGAAAAAATGAAATTCTGATACATTCTATAAGGGTGAACCTTGAAAACATGCTAAGGGAAATAAGCCAAACTTAAAAAGACAAATATTATATAATTCCACTTATATGAGTTAGTTACCTAGAATAGGCAAATTATGTCATAGCGACAGAAAATTAGAGGTTACCAGGGTTGGGGGAAGGAGGGGTGTTGTGGGTACAAAGTTTCTGTTTGGAGTGATTTTGAAAAAATCCTGGAAATGGGTAGTGAGAGTAGTTAACATGTTGAATGTACTTAATTACACTAAATTTTACACTTAAAAATGGTTAATGCTGGCCTGACGCAGTGGCTCACGCCTGTAATCCCAGAACTTTGGGAGGTCAAGGCGGGTGGATCATGAGGTCAGGAGATTGAGACCATTCTGGCTAACACAGTGAAACCCTGTCTCTACTAAAAAA